CAGGATCTCCCGCGCCTGGTCCGAGTGCGTGGCGAAGACCACGTGGTCGAAGGGCTCCTCGTCTACCGGGCGCCCCTGCGCGTCGCAAACGAGGAGCTTGCGCGGCTGCCCCTCGCTGGCCGCCTCCCACTCCACCGCGCGCGGGCGGGGGCAATGGGCAGAAGGTGGCGAGGAGGAGGATGGGAGGAGGAGGAGGAGGAGGAGGAGGAGGAGGACGAGGAGGAGGAGGACGAGGAGGAGGACGGCAACGAGGAGGACGAAGAGATTTATGATGATTGTGCTGATGCTGATCATGATTAGGATTAAGATGGCCACATATCGGCGTGATATTATGATCATGATGATGGTGATGGTCAGAGTGATGATGCTGATAGTGGTGATGATGATGATTATTAATATGATGATGCCGATGATGATTATCGTCATGATGAGGTTGATTTTGATGATGAAAATGATCATGTGGAGGAGGATAAAGACAGGGTGAAGCCCTGGTGCGTTGACTATGTTGCAGTGCACCCTCTCGTCCCAAGTCCTCTCCTCATTAGTCCCTATAAACGTTTGCCTCCACTGTGGAAAGCGCCCCCCTTTAAAAGACGAGCGCCCATTCGGCCTGCCATTCGAGCGAGCTCCCGTGTTGTAAAGGATCCACCCTGCCTCCTTCCAGCCATGGGAAGAGGAGGCGTCCAGAACGAATCCGAAGGAACCAACCTCCACCCGCATAACAATTTGACAATTCTGACCCTCTGGGCATGATGCTTGAAGAAACATCAACGGATAGCCCCATGCTGACAAGGAAGCACCATCCATCCGTGTAGCTGTCGCTTGTCGCAACGAGCGCGCGCCTTGCAACACGAGAACCCAATTTCGAAAAGATGCCGCCCTCCATCCGTACAACTGTCGGACTTCTAATTTTCACCAGCATCGCTGAGGCCGTCTCAAGCAAAACACCTGGACCGTCCTAACGACCCGTGCAATGGTGCTACAGAGAATGCTTACCGACACTAATGCGAAATAGTTGCGGAGGACGAGGAGACGGAGGAAAGGGAGGAGGAGAATGAGGAGATGGACGAAGACAAAGACGACGAGGAAGGGGAGGAGAAGCAGGAGGAGGAGGAGGCAAAGTAGAGGGAGGAGGGGGGGAAGGAGGAGGAGCACGGAGGGCGAGGGGCTGGGGGAGGAGACGGAGAAGGAGGCGAAGGGGCGGAGGAGGACGAGAATGAGGGGAACGAAGAATGACATAAACATGACAACTCAGAGGTCCGTGCGGATTTGTCGGATCCGCGCTGGACCCCCCTCCCTGGCGCGCGGAGCGCGCCAGGGGCGGCGCCGGGGAGGTGCCGCCAGCGCGCCAGGGGCGGCGCCGGGGAGGTGCCGCCAGGGGGGTCCAGCGCGGATCCGAGAAATCCGCGCGGAACTCCGAGTTTGTATGTTTATGCCATTGTTCGTTCGCCTAAGAATGAGCAGGATTAATTAGGGGAACGAAGAATGGTATACACATAAAAATTCCGAGGTCCGCGCGGATTTCTCGGATCCGCGCTGGAGCCCCCTGGCGGCGCCTCCGGCGCCACCCCTGGCGCGCTCCGCGCGCCAGTGCGGAGGGTCCAGCGCGGATCTGAGAATTCCGCGCGGACCTCCGAGGTTTTATGCTTATGTCATTGTTCGTTCGCCTAAATGAGCAGGATGAATGGGGATGCGGAGGATGCGGAGGGCGAGGGGCTGGGGTTATATGGCACGGCATGGCCTCACTCTGTAGATCCAGGATAACGCTCATAATACTTCAAAAATACTCTTCCTGGGATTTTTTATCTTCGGGTAGTGCATGCTCCAAAAGAGCTAGTGCCACACAAAAAAAGGTGCGCATTCGTTAGGCACGTCGGGCTCTCGGTGGGCCACGCTAGCGGAACGAAAGCGCGCGTGATGGCCCTCTCCCCCTCCTCGTCCTCTCCCTCCTCCGCTCCTCCTACCTCCTCCTCCTCCTCCTCCTCCTCCTCCTCCCCCTCCTCTTCCTCCCCCTCCTCCCCCTCCCCCCCCTCCCCCCCCTCTCCCTCTCCCCCCCTTCTCGCCCAGGAGGCTTCAGACTCTGGAGGCTTCCTCATCTGTTGAGGGCGGAGGCAATGCCCGCGGCCGATCCACAATTGGAGTTCCACCAGCCTCCAGACCCTGGATTCCTTACCCAAGGGTTCCTTATCCAAGGCCGCCGCGTTGATGTCACAGTGACACCTCCATCCTCGGTGCTGCATCCTTTTCCTCCGCCCTTGCTGTTGCACCCCCTCCTCCTTGCCCGATTGCGACGTCGACGGTCGACGACGCCGACGAGCGACGACGGATTCGGCAATGGCGTTCGACAGCGAGCGACGAGCGACGAACGCGACGACGATTGCGGCGAGCGACATCGACGACGACGAAGACGACGACGACCGATGACGCCCGCAACGACAGCGTATCATAGAGCATGTCTTCAACCCTGATGCGTTTGGCTGCTAACGCTGCGATCTGCGTGAGAGGTGCGCCCGATTTCCCTTATTGCGAGGATATCTTGAGCAAATTGTTCGGTTGTCCAGCACGGCGCGCGAATCATCGCACCAGAGCTCTTACACCGTCGCAAGGGTTCGACTGTTATATTTATGTTCCGTGGGTGGCCGTTTTGGTTCGGGCCCCGCGCCCGCCGAGCGCGGGCCCCCCTCTTCCTCCCGCCCCCCTCCTCCTTCATGACCTCCCCTCCGCCTCCGTCCCCTCCTCCACGTCCTCATTCCTCCTCTTATTTCCCCTCGTACTCCTTTCCCCGTGCAGTTGCGCCGCCTCGCGCATGGCGGAGGCGGCCGCGCCCCTTGTCCGTCGGCGCGGTGATCTCGCGGTCGCCCGCGAGGCGGCGCTGCAGGCTAAAAAGAGGAGACGGGATATCAGAGAGGAGGAAGCCCGTTTTCGGGCTCGCCTATTTATGCAGCGGAATGTAATGCAGGAGGCTCTTCGCGCTGGATCGTTCATCGAGGTGCCGCCGTTGATTGACAGATCCATGGAGTGTACGCAGTTGTGTCGGGCACGTGGTGTGCTAGACAATTTCGAGGGCGAGGCCGCAGTTGCTGTTGGCGATTTGCTTTTCACAGATGCTGGCGTGGATCTGGCGTTCTCGTCGGAGCGGGCGAGAAGTGCGTGGTCGGGCGTGGGCCGCAATGTTGCTCATCAGGTGGGTCCTTTGCTGGCGGCTGCGACGTGGCTGGCCGATCGCGGCAGGCACCGCATTCTCGCCCGCGTCGCGGCGACATGCCGCGGCGTTGAAGCTTTGCAGTTCGTGGATTCTGTTGGCTACGACGGGACGCCGCTGAAGACCAGGGGCAACTCGGAGCGCGTCAGGAAAAGTGGTCGATTCCTCGGTGGCTATTCCAGAACGCATACTGACGTTGCTACCGATGAACCGTGGTGCCCTACCGACTAAGCTGTTCTAGACGCAGCAGCAGTTCGCCATGCTCGTCGCCCGTGCGTTGCCTTGCGGCACGAAGCAGTACGTCATAGTCACAGGCACCACGGCATGCCACGTACAGGCGCTATCTAGGAACACACCTGGGTACATTATGCAGGCGTTGAAGGAGACGTCGCCCATGTCACTGCCAGAAGTAAGGTTCAAACCATTTTCGAGGATTGCGAGCGTTGACAGACATCCGTCCAATTTGGTGGTAGAGAGGCGCATTGCCAGGAGAATGGTGAGACGTTTCCCGCAGTTTCGCGCGTTGCTTTTCCCTTGTGAGCAGCACCTCCTTCAGACAGTGAGAGTTCTCGCGACGTGGAGGTTTTCGAAGTGCATGACTGGCATGATCAACCTCGCGCTGTCTTTGAACTTCCAGGGCCACATGGACTTGTTCCGAGACTCCCTCAATGATATCACCAGGCATCGGTGTGAGATCATATCGACGCCGCCGCCGCCGCTTGCCAGACTTCGGAAGGCCTTGATTCTCAAGTGGTTCATTTCTGCCAAGAGCGGGGACCACGTCATTGTGCGAGCTCTTCTAGATATGTTGGCAACTGGTGACTGGGATAGCGACAGTATTCAGATATACGTGCCACCTGGTGTAGCACACGACAGAGACCGTTTGTTTGACACCGCCGCCGGGGGCATCGCACAGGCAATTGCCCATAAGAACTTCAGACTCTACCAGCGGAAGAAATCGATGGGTGCCGATGAGGCGTGCTGCGAGTTCGCTGTCCCGCTCCTTCTGGGGAACACTCTCGTTCATGCGTACAGGCTCTTTTGTCACCGCGTTCGGAAGGGCGCGACTCACGGAGACGTGGCGGTCGTGTTGGGCCAGGCCGCCCACCGAGCCCCTGCCCATCCTGGCATGCTGGCTATCGCCGACGGGGAGGGCGACGATGCGGCGCGCGTGCAGCGCGAGGAGGACGACGGGGATCCTCGAGGACAGGCGCCCATCGCGATATGGGCTCGAGAAGTCGCCAGGAAGCGGAAGATAGCCTTGGACTGGTTGCGCGGCTGCTCGGGAACGCCGCCGTGCGCGGAGGTGGTTGTTCTGAAGCTGATCGTCAGCGTGATCCAGAGTATGCAGTCGGAAGAATTGTGGATTGGGTCCAAGAGGTGGGAGCGCAAGCAGAATGCAATCGCAGCCAGGCGCTACGCCAGCGGCGACAACGGCAGCCTTCTCAGGGACTACAGCATCCTCGTCCACGCTCGTGGACAGCTAGAGCTCAAGGCCTTCATGCGCATGCGAGCGCTCTTCTTCGACAGCAGGTTGTGGTGCTTAGTGCGCGAGGCCGAGATGAACAACAGGTTGAAGGCCGACGTCTTTACTGGCATCTCTGCTGCGGGTGCCTTGGTCCAGAAATTGATCGCGACGCCCCATGAGCTGGCCCCGTTCAGGTTGTGTCTCGTGCTTTTGCAGCCCGAACTTGCGCCAGACATCCAGAACACCCCTCGGTGCATGCTGGATCCGTGGTCGTCCAAGTTCCTCCAGGAGAACGATCTCACCACCGAGGACGCCATGGTGCGGCTCTTAGTTCATGCGATGGTTATTTACACCAACACTGACCGATTGGAGGTATCGAACAGCCACATCAGGCGCATTGTCGCGCGGCACGTGCAGTGCCCGCAGCCCGACGGCATCGACATCAGCAGCAGA